TTCCGTCAAGTGACGATTAAAAATCGTTAATACCCACACTTCGAATTGATGGTCTACCCGACCAACCTTTGTAATTCGAGTTTTCTTCCATAGTCTGACAAATTCATAGTGGGGAGACATGCTCATCTACCTCGGCAATGAGACCAAATTCTTCAAACTCCCCTTGAGGCCTGGAACAAAGCCCGAACAACGATAAATCCCACCATTTCTGAATGGTATCATGTGAATCACCACCACCATTAGACTCCCTTTGGGCCTGGAACAAAGCTCAAACAACTATAGGGCTGCAGAGCACCGGAGGTGACAGATCAAAGCCACCCATTTCTAGGGTTTTAGTTGAGTTCGAGGGAAATTAGAGCTTTTCCTGGCCAAATTGGACTTGGCCACAGGTACAAAACTTTGTCTACTCATTGAGATCTTCATTTTTGAAAATTTTGGTAATTTTTGGAAATAGTTTATTTTTCTGGCGAGTCGAGATGGCCAATCACCATGTGTGGTAGCGCGTGGGTCGAGACCTGAGCTGCCCATCCTAGGCTAATTTGGATGCCCTGATTCCATATTTGACATTTGATTGACGGAATTCCATTGTTTGGGTATAATTTCGTTAAGGTCCGCCACTTATTATAACAATCGACGATCCGACCGTTGGATCGTCACCAAAATTTAATACATTATAGTACATAATATTTGAGGACAGTAGGAACTTATGGATTAGGAGTCTGATGTATGGATCTTCTCGAATTGGATTTGTAAGTTCATAAAATAAAACGTTGACCGCCACTTAATTTTAGCAATTGGCGGAGATCCGATCATTAGATCATTTCGAAACTTTAGGATGTTGTTCTAGAAGCTTATTGAAACCCTTGGGAAGTTACAAATCGAAAATCAGAGATGCGGATCTTCCAGATTGAGTTACGTAGGGTTGTGAACCCTATCGTCGACCTTTGACCAATGATTGATTTTTGGTCAATGGGTTACAAATCATTCTAGAACATCCTTGGGGATGTGTTTTATGTAAGTTAGATGTTCTATCGATAAGAATTCTAAGACATGATTTGATCATTGTTCTAGGGGACGATTGTTCGAGACGCCTTAATATTCGTGCTAGGGAGTTGTAGCGCGGACTTCAGGTGAGTGGGTCTTTTCCTTTTTATAGTGTATATATATGATTTCCATTTATGCATTTGAAAAATAATTTCTTACATACCCCTGGATTAGACTAAAGTTTATAAGAATTAGCGAAATGGAATTTATGAAATATGCCAAATCCTACGGGATGCGCAGGTAAGTTTATTATGTTGACTAAAAGTATTGAATCATTATGGCATGCTTATATTTATGTAGGCCGCTCATCATTGCTGCACCCCGATGTTAGTGCTCGCCCAGGGCCAGGGCCAGTGTTTCACGTGTATGTTCACCTTCGCACCGCACACTCGCCTTGGATCCAAGTTGGTGCCAGTCATGTCGTACAGGTTGCATTAAGCAACTCCGATTCGTAGGTGATTGCGAATAACGCCAGTCTTCACGTGATTGTAGCACTAGAGCGTATATTATGATTACACCCAGTCCTATCATACAAGTTGCATTAGGCAACTCCGACTCATGTGCTAGCATGGATTGATGAGCATCAGTTCAGTCGTATAGGTCACATTAGGCGACTTCAACTAGTGTGCTAGAATAAATTTTTTGAGCACCTGATTTTACTTATATTACTATTGAGATTTTGTGATTTTGGATATCCTGCCCTTAGTTACGAGATACTGTGCCGTAATGAATTCTTGAGATTTTGCAGGCTATGGTAAGTATTTTTATACTATACGTAGTACGTATATTTTAGAAACTATACTTGTTTTATGGCAAGGGGTTACAATGTTTTCAGAAAGGTTTTTATAAAACTTTATTTTCAGGCCCACTCACTCTTGTTTTTCTCCTTTCTAGGTTTTAATAGCTGAGCTTTCTCATCGACGAGGATTCTTGGCAAATCTTGGGGTAGATGATTACCTTTGCTGGTATAATTCTCACCCTATCTTATTGTACTGTACTTATGCTCTGACACTACGGGTGAAATGGGTTCATTCCCGCTCACAGTGCACTCTTATACTTAGGCACTTTTAAGTTTAAATTTACTCACATTTTTCCATATCACTACACTTTATGGATTTGTCACCTTCCAGGTATCGGCCAGCACAGCTCGATTCGGAGTCCTAGTGGACATTTCGAGTCAGAATGTGTCACACAGTGTCTTAACCAATTGGTATAACTCACGTCTGCACTTAAAGAAAGAGAATTGACTCATCATAAGGAATACAATTCATACATGACTATAATGTGTTATAATAGGTCCAAATTGCTAATTTTAAGGCAAAATTAAACAACCGTGTGCCATAAAGAAAGTTCCACTTAAAACTTGTTTTTGAAAAATCTGAATACCAATTACCTCATTTTAAAAAAGAAAGGGAAGTTAAAGCAGCAGAAACAAGCTTAAGAGATATTTAGAAGCTAGATCATTGATGCTTGTAGCTACTAATCAAGTTGAGAAGTGTTGGGAACAACTAATCCCTCATCAGATTCAGGAAAAAAAGTTAGTCATAATTAACTTCAAACTTGAAAAAGCATGCATTAGTATTACTGTATTAGGGATGAAATGTAGTTGGTCAAAGAATATCAGCAGCCATTACTATAATCACTACTTTTCCATTTTCTGTGATTTGAAACTTCATCATCGATCGACCTTCTTGTGTTCTGCAACATGTCCAAGACCTAGGGCTTTTACGTATAATTCCTCCTTTTCACCATCTTTTTCAAGTGCGACTAGCAAAGATGAGTTGATAACTATAATTATGCAATATATTATCAATGATTGCTCCCTTTAGGATGTTTGTTCAATTTTCCTTCTTATTTATACTAGCAACTTGACCAAAAATAAATCCATCGTACGTTTTATTATTTCTTTAAAAAGTATTTCTTTTTTATTAAGTACCTCAAACCGTCAAACCTTTTAGTGTCATTCTAAATTGGTCTCAACCTTTTTAAACATTTCAAACAAGTACCTAACCTATTGAAAATGTTATATCTGTTAAGCCCCAGTTAAAAATTTGCTAAATTAACTAAGGCTTACTTTGTCTCCAAAATCAATAAAAGGTCATGGAAGCATAGCCTCCACCAACTAACGATCACCACCACCCCATTAGGCCATCACCTCCAAACACAAAACTACCAACCTACAACTGGAGCTGCCAACATCGAGAAGAAGGTTATGGACTGTCATGATATGGCCACCACCATCTTTATTTCCCACAAAGAAGAACTTGAAGCTTTATGAGCCAAGAATTGACGAATGAGGAAATCATGTGAGCAAAAACAAGTTCCTTGAAACACTCTTTGAATTTTTAACCCTATTCTATGGTAGAAGATTTCTCTTCTGATCTACTTTCAATTTGGGTCCATTTTCAATTCAATTCAATACCTGTTTGATCATTGAGTTCCATATTTTATAATCGATGTTTGCAATTTAGATTTTCAGACAACTAATATATTAATGTTGACCATGATATATCCAGTTGATGGGTTTTGAATATAACCAATGTTTGAAAATTCACTGGGGCTTAACACCATCATATACCCAGTTGGTGGGTTTTGAATATAATCTATATTTGAAAAATTCACTAGCGCTTAAAGAATGTGACATTTTCAATAGGTTGGGTACTTACTTTGAATGTTTAAAAAGTTTGAGACAAATTTGGAATGTCACTAAAATTTTGGGGTTTTTTAGATACCTAATCCTTATATATAATATCATGTATTAACTATAATACTTTCTTTACAAGGTTTTTTATGTCAAATTATTTGGGTGGTATATATTAATTGAAAAAACGTCGTTAACTGGATACCTAATTATGCAGATCTATGTTTAGTTAAGTTGAGTAAAGCAATGTTGATTTCCTTTATGGACTCAAGTAGAATCTTCAATTTACATAATTTAGATGAATTTTATCTGAATTAGACCTATCTTTTCCTCAGAAAAAATAAATACATCACTTTCATTGAAAGATGATGATTATGATCTCACCTTGTAATGCCCTAGAAAAAGATATAGAAAATGGAAGATCATGTAAAGGAAATTAAAGTGATAGAAATCTGTCTTCTTCGGAGAAAGCAAGAGAGACTAATTAAAGTGTGGAAAACCTTTACATGAATTGTAGTTTATCGGTTCAATAATGCATTAAAGTGGTAGATCAAAGTTGGGAAATCGTTGTTAAATATAGTTGCTTTCTTTCCTTTTCTTTAATTGCAATGCAAAATGGGGCACGTAAGGCAGGACCCTGCAATTGCTACGTATTATCGAACTAACAACTACAGAGCCGTCTGCTTCAACAAAAGCCAGAGACTTTGAAAATTGGTCTGGTTCTTTAAAAATCATACAACTTTGAAACGTAGTGACATTCTTCTTATTTCTTTTTATGGATGATGGAAATAGACGTATAATTATTACAAGCGACATGATTCTGCAAAAAAAATTAAGAATTTCGGTTGAGTTGTATCGTGGCGGATCTATATTGACACAATAAGTGCATGTTTCTTAAAGGGTTAGGTTAGTGTTTATTTGCGAAACAAGTTTTAACAAGCTAGTGACACCAAATAATAATTATGCAAATATATTCATATATCTTGACACATTCAGTTAACAGGTTGTGGTTTAAATGCAATTTCATACCAACGCAACACAAATACAAAAAACATACGACTTGCTTTTTTTTTTCTTTTTTTCTTTTTCTTTTTTTTTTTTTTTTTTTTTTTTTTTTTGCTTTTTAGAAATATCACATTGCTGTTGATTGTGCGTTAGTCTAAACTCTCCTTCCATAGACCATCGGGGACCAATTATCGACAGAGGAAGAGAAAAAAGGGAAAAAGTGTCCATCTTTGCATACGCAGTGATGGAATTGAATTGCATTTTTCATTGACAGAAACAAATGTAAAGACAACAAAAGGCATCAGGAAAGGAGAGTCAAAGAAACATTTTCTGACCATTCACTCGACGTTGATAAAAAGTTCTCACAAGTTTTAAACGATCAAAGATGTACATTCAACGAAAAATAACTCGCACTTTTACGAAGGGGCTCCAAAACCCCGCTACTGTTTCAAGGCAGCAGATATTTTCTTCTGAACAAGCTCCACTCCAAGACGGGGAGATAATCTGGGTAGAGTTTCCTGAACGGGAAAACAATATTTAGTCAGATGAAACTACAAATGTGTGACCCGCGAAACCAAAAAATTCTAGATTGTTTCGGAAAAATAATGTTAACATGCTAATCATCAAATTGCAGAGTGAGGAAACAAGCGCAAGTCTTGTACCATCTCTACAAAATATCTAAGCCATGCTAAAAGGAAACGAATGGGGTAAGTAAACTTGCGATGATTCAAGCAAGATAGGCCACCTCATAGACGCAATTCCATCTAGTATTGAGTTGGGTGTTGATTTGATAGTCAATCCACTATCTAAAGCAAAGTAATTGCTTGATACTTGGCAAAGCAAAAAATTTATATATCTTGAAAAGAGATTAACAACTAAAGCCATATCATCGCAATCATGCACAACAGCAGAGGGAAAAATGCAAACTCTAATCATATAACTATGACAAAGAGAAGGGAAAAAAAAAATCTGAGACACCAGATAGCAAAGGGGTTCTGCATCCGTCAGCAGGCATTTAGAGTCAGAATCATATGTGTCACAAGACAGTTCAAAGCAGCAGGAAAAGAGAAAAGCAAGAAAGCAAAAACGAAGAATGATATTTGCAAATAATGTCTTTAGAATTGATTACAAAAGGTATACGTCCTCTGGGAGGACCAACTAAAAAAAAGTTATGGAAAGATAAGGGCATGTACACATCGATTCAAAAGTAAAAAAAAATATCAAAGGGTAATGGAACACATTATCTGATTGTTGCATGTGCATATGATGCCTATGCCAATTTTAATCAATCTCAAAGAAGGATAATTGGTTTCAGCATCTAATTAATCAGCTGGTATTGAATGATATTTTTGCACAAAAAAGTTCATCAGAACAAAGTTCCAAAACAACCAAAAATAATATAATCGACAACGAACCCTAGGTAGCATTTACAAATTACAGTTACGAATCACTCAGCTTAGGATTGAACCAAACTGAAATGGAGACTTTGCCTCAATTATAAGGGCTAGCTCACAATCTATGACACAACAGACTATCATATGAAATGGTTCACTTGATAAACAGAAAATTTAATGGGATGTCCATTCCTTTCAGCCATATGATTCTGAAAAATTATAATCCCCATAATAGATAATTTATGAGATTCATCGCATCGTAGACATACAGGCATTAAAATCATCTTATTTGAATGCCATATTTATTGTTTCTCAAATGACTGCATTATGGAGCCCATCCGTAAAATAGCTTCGTCAACAAAGATGTGATTCAACCATTCACAGTCAATAGGAAGATATTAACTCTGTCTTTGGTGTCATGATGGCCATCAAACTTTAAGAAATTGCGCCAGGATATTGGAAAACTATTATGAAAGCAAAAATGCAATATAAACTATAAAGGATACAGTAATCCAATAAAAGGGAGCATTATCGTAACATATTTGTTGATAAGACATTTTGAATAATATTACTAAATAAAATAAGATAAGTTGAACAATGATATTAAGACAAGAAATTAAACTAATAACAAAATACGTACGGAAGGAAAGAAGTCTACTTTGGAAGTAGGCCTCATGTTACGATATGAATCAGCCTATCAGGCTTAACAGGTACCTCAACCCTTATTCAGCCCGAGCTAAAGTCCAACTGGGATTTCTGAAACCAAACCTGCCATAGTTGCTTAAGGTCTGGCCTAGGCTTGGGTCTGGCCACGATAGTTTGCCTAAATTACATTCCTTGTGTGATTTCATTTTCCAGTTTCCTTGTTTATTCTAAAATTCACGGAAAGCACACATAAACTCAGTACGACAGCTTCATATGCATGTTTTGCATTTAATGCATTCTTCACAGAAAACGAGTTAGTTCCAAGCCTCCAACATAGGTTCATGAACAGAAGTTCAATGTTACCATGTAATTGAGTAACATTGCCCAACCTGAATAATACCCCCGGTATTCTATTTAAACAATAATACAGTAAAAGTTCCAAGTGACTTAGCAGAACAAATATGTTACTGAATTTGTGAGATTTTCCAATGCAAAACCAGCACATTGCACAAATTAATCTTCAAATTAAGGCCAACCCAACAAACTAAATAGAAGAAACAAACCTCAGTGCCATCAGATAACACTCTGGCCAACACTGGTATCTCAAACTGATAAGCACTTTCCCACTCTGGATTGCTTGTAATATCCCTTACCTGAACAAAACCAACACTGAAAACTCCATTACCAAACAGAGAAAAACAAAAAACTTCAGATTGTAAATGTTAGTAAAGATAAAAAAAACCTTGATGGGCTTACCTGAAAATCAACGTCGTGGAGGGACTCAGGACCGGAAAGTAAGAAAGCGGCCTGAAGTTTTTCTTTGAGGCCATCGCACAAACAGCATCCGGGCTTGGAGTAGAGAATGAGTGCTCTTGAAGGCTTTGAAGAAGAAGAAGAGAAAGAAGAAGAAACGGCAAAAGGGGTGAAGACCCACCTCGCCCTGCGTGTTGTTAGCAACAAATTCGAGGCTGGCCTTGCCGCCAGTGCCATTGTCGCCGTCGCTGCTGCTGCAATAGCCATGATTCCGAATGCTTAGCAAAGTGGGACTGGCCCAATTCTCTGGTCTTCTGCACCGGAAGCTGTGTAACTTTTTCTCGGGCCGGACCATCTTTAGGCTTAGTGTCAGCGACTCGGCCTAGCCCATGTTTTTTATTTGTCTGCTAATTTTTATGACATATTAGAGCATTGTAAGTGGGATTTTCAATTTTAATTTTTAATTTTTAATTTTGATCTCATTGTATTCTGAGCAAGGTCAAACGAAATATAAAAATATAATTTATGAATCGAAATAAATTAGGAGCATTTTAAACTCAATCGCGAATGTAAGTCATATATACAAATAGCCTTACAGGGCTTTTAATCCACTAAAATGCTATCGTTTGCATAAAAAAAGAAAATAAAAAAAAAAAGTTTATATCAAATATTTATACTGAATATATTATGTTGGTATTAAGTACATACTCTGTTTGCTTACCATTTTGCGGATGAATATCATTCTTCAGTTGTTTGCTTAGGTTTGTTAAAAAATGAATGTCTATATTATGTTACTGATGCATTTAGAAACTTAGTTTGGTGACTCAAAAACAATATTCGATCACTGAGTTCAACAACTACAACTCATCGAGGACCATTATTACTGTATGCTCTAGCTTGAACGCTCGAAATCCCTCAGACTATAATGGATTGGCAAACATATTATGACCAATGATTGTAGGTCAAGAAATTATTGAATTGTAATGATTAACACTGGAAGCAAAAATCTTATAAATGTCATCTACCAGTTGAAAGTGATTCTTATGAAGATTCAGATGACGACAATGACGACGAAGAAAATGAGGTTGAAAACGAGGACAATAGGGAGGATAATGGTATTAATCGATAAGCTGTTTAAATAAACAAGTGGCAGTTAACTAGAGCTGTGAGGATGAGAGTTTTTATGATTTATGGTGCTTCTGTTAACGGAATTCAAATTGTACGAAAAGGTTTCAAATTTCATTGAATGCACGACTACGCTTTTGTTTCAAACTTTTAGAAAGGATAGTGTTAACGGAATTCAACTCGAGTATTATTGTTGCACATATCCCAAGGCCAAGCTGCAACCCAAGTGGTTAGTTATGCAGCACCAGAGGTCCCTCACGAAGTCAGCTTTTAGGGTTGTGGAGGTTTTGCACCATCATCTGGTGGAGGAGTCGCATATTCTCTTGTCAGTAGAAGTTAATTGTTGGAGTGGCTGACTGTTCCCCGTCTTCTGAATTTGCTATCTAGTGGGCCAAATTCCACGTTAATCTTTCGCTATGATTATGCCTTGCTTGCCTCGGGGGCATGGATAGTCGTTATTGGAGTGGCTGTTCCTGGGTTGAACATGAATATCTTCTCTATGTTCTCAAATTCCAGCATTCTCTCTCACTTTTTTAGGAGGAGGGGTAGTTGTTGCTGAGTGGCTATTCCTGGAGGTGAACATGAACTTTCTCTCTCGCTTGTGTCGAAGGTAGGAGTAGTTGTGGTGCTGCCTCTACTTCCTCTCCATTATCTAGATTTCTTCTTAGTAAACAATACCCGACGCTATATTTTTAGTCGCATTCTGCCTTGACTATCCGAAGGCAGGGGATCCCTCAGTTGGAGGGTGGATGGGAAATCGAGGAACCTCATTCTCTATCTTGATCCTCGTCATGTTGTCCTGTGAAGAAAAATTACAACACATATATTAATAATCCAATGTGTACAAACATTAATGAAACTCTAAGCAATTTTACAAATGTTAATAAAACTCTAGCAACACTCATGCTTATCCTTTTTTTTTCCTCAGCATAAGAATCGACATAGTAGCTCTGTCATGCTCCGGACCCAGAATCAGCAGAAAAATAAACAATACACTCGGCGCGCGAGCTAAAATTTAAATAAAATAAAAAACAAACTTTTCTTATAAAAATAACTTCAAAATCCTTACAAGGTGTACAAAATAAATTAAAATCCTTAAATCTCTTATCTAACACAATCTCAGCTCGTCTAGCACATGTCTTACTGAATAACTCATCTGAAAAATATAAAAGAGTGAGGGGTGAGCAACAACCACTGTTTCTCGGTGTGTAGAATATGTAATATGCTAGTCAAGCGATGCCGTTTTAGTCATTCTAGGAAATACAATAATAATATCAAAGCTTTTTAGCCACATAATTCCATAACACATCATTCCCTTCACGTGTTCATTATATCCTTCATAGATTGTAATTCACCACGTGACCCGTAATGGCCATTCTACTAATGTCCCGTATGCAATTTACATTTATCCCTCGGAGTAATGCAATACCAAAGTTCTCATGCTCCATGAAGAATCTCAAGTAATTCCACATAAAACGTATATATATACACTCATCAAAACATTTCTTGAAAGCTAACATGCTTGACTTGAGATAGAGAGATATTTAAAAATAGAATAAATTCCATGATAATTTGTGGTTTTCATGTTATCTAAAAATAAGAACTTTTAAATATATTACATAAACCACTCACCTTGATTATCAGAAGTTCGGCAAGACAACCAACCTATTGATTCGCATCCCTTATTCCTTCTCTTTTCTGTATTTCTTTCACTCTGCACTTCTTTGCATGCAGTCGCATGCAATTTCATCTAATGTACTGGTCTCTCTCTCTGTTCTCCTATCTCTATTCCCCATAATTTCTTTTCTTTCCCACGAACCACTCAAAACCACAAACAAAAGTCATGGTTGAAATAAATGATATGGAAACCTACTTATACTAGAAAGTGTCGGTTCCAAAACTTAGGGAGTCAGGAAAAGAATATCAATTTAATACACTATATAAGAAATATTGAGAGGAGAATAAGCCACATATAAGTATATGAATTGTTAGACTAAAAAGATTGCTTGCATGGGTTGTGCCACCACTCATGCTATCTCCATGTCCTGCATAAGAAAATGGTGACTAACTATGCTTGGTTCCAAATTAGGATAGCTTTTCCCCTTATTTTGACAACACCTACTAGTAAAAACACTAGTCACACTTGTCCACCGAATGTAAAAATTGTGACACCTCCCCCTTTAATCCCTCCAATTTAATAGCTTAGTCATAATGGTTATGAGGTGTGAATGTGCATAGCATAACACGTCTCCAACTTGAATGCTTACTAAGCATCAATAATTCATCCCAAATAAAAATAGAGATACTTTGGATGCGGTCCCTAGTCCTTAACACTCTTTGACAAAAACCTTAATGGTATTCAAAGTTTGATCAAAATCCCTTAACTTTGTACACCTCATTAATATTTATATTTTTATAGTTTTGACATTAATTGTTTGATATTTTATGAGTTTTATAATCCTATAAATTTAAAATCCATCATTATAATAGTATTATAAATGGCTACAATAAAAAGATTCAAACATTTTGATTGAATAAATGGATAAAAACTATGTAATAATAGGAAATAATAAATGGCAAAATAATATATCCATAGTGTTAAAAAAATGGGTACATTTCACATATAACAAATTGGTACATTAATAAAGAAGAATGGGTACATAATAAATAAATTAGGGTCCAAATAAAAGTTTAAAAAATTATGAGTACAAATGAAATTTTAAAATATATGGGAGCAAAAAGAAATTAATACATGGGTACAAATAAAAACTAAAAAGAAAATACTACAAATTTAAAAAAAGGTTGCAAATTAAAAGTTGGTACAAACTAAAAATATAAATATATGATACAATGTTTAGCCATAAAACATAAATATGCCATATGTAATTTTTCTATCATTGATTAATTATACAATGTCACGTGACGGTAAACATATGGGCACAAATACAAATAAAACTTTAAAAAATATGGGCACAAAAAGAAATTAATATATGGGTACAAATTAAAACTGAAAAGAAAATTGGTACAAATTAAAAAAAGGTTTGCAAATTAAAAATGGGTACAAAATAAAAATAAAAATATAAGATAAAAAATTTAGTCATAAATATAAATATACTAATTGTAACATTTGTAACACTAAGGGAATATATTTAAAAATAAAAAGTATTTATTATTGAAATAATTAATGATGTTATTAATACCCAAGGACCTTGATCAAAAATTGAAAAGGAATAGAATTTTAATCAATGAAGTAGCAAAAAGAAGGATAGAAACCTAATTTCTCCATAAAAATAATATCCATAATGAATTCTAAAAATACGGGATCTCACAAGCTCCTAAAGTGAAGCTAACAAGGATCTACGTACTAGCAACCCCTTGTGATCTTTGATTTTCATGTGTCCCCTTAGTGGATAGAATTGCCACTTTCTCAACACACTGCTGCAGTTGGCAGCGGCATATAAAGCACTCATTAACTTTCTTAGAAATCAAACAGAAAGTAAAACATGAAACGAATTTATCAAACACGAAATTTCCCACTCGTATTTTCTTACTTAACAAACAGAAAGCAAATATGAAAATATCTTAATTGGCAAGATTGTGAGACAAAATTAAGCAGCAAAAAGGATTACAACTTTCTTAGGACACCAAAACAAAAGTATCAAAACAATCTAGTTTCTCTCTCGTATCTTTCTTACTAACAAATAGAAGGTAAAGATGAAAATAATTCAATTAATCAGATTGAGAGGCAAAATTAAACAACAAAAGATCATAAATTAAACAGCAAAACAAGATTACAACTTTTTTATGAACCAAAATGAATGTATGAATATAATATTTCATTTTCTTAGGAACCAAAAAACCAACAAGCAAATGAAATATTTTGCTTAATAATATATGAATAGATCGCTCCATCTATCAAAAGACCAATTCCAAATTGTTCAAAAGTTTAGCAGAACCAAATATCAGATCATGTCTAAGCTAGAAAAAAATATCAGATTATGAATTTCGCAGTACAAATATGTCAATATTTTAAAACGAGGCTTAATAGTTACAACAGGAACATGAATAAGGCCAGTTAACAAGGTGTAGAATAGCTTCCAAATAAAAAATAAAAAATAAAAAAAAAAAGGGTGTAGAATACATTATAATATTTTTAATTAGTAAAATTATATCAAGTTAAACATTTCATCACAAAATTCATTCGTCATCAAGAATTAACC